GGGKTGGGGGGGAGAGGTGCCGGGAGAAGAARTAACATCTTGGAAGACTTGAAGAGAGAGCAGGGACTTAGCAGGAGAAAGGCTTATTCATGGAGCAGCATGGTTGGGAAAATGGCCCTGTGGATCCCTGTGGTCAGAGCAGGAGGGCTCCTGCCTGGGGGAGGTAGGGCGTCCAGCCACCCAGTCACAAAAGGCCTCAAATTGGCCGGAGAGACACGGAGAGTAGGATGCACTAGAGGGAACTGAGTTTGTCCTCTTGACCATTTGTTCTACCTAGAGTGTGGGAGACTGGCTGTAGGGCACAAAGGGTAGAGTCATGGTGGCCTGGACTGTGTGGTGGCCCTGGGGCTGCAATGGCAAGCTTAGGTGATGGGTGGGCTGAGCGKGGTTTAGCCCAGGTGGTCTAACCTGGCCTCCTGGAGTCAGCCCGAGCCCCGAACCCTGGAGCCAGGTATTGCTGGGGTGTATTGGTGTAGGGACAGTACCCCCAGACCACACCCCTGTGTTCCAGGGGATGTGGTCCCCCAGGGCACCTCCCAAGGTAGATTCAATGGCACCCAGGGTGGGACCCAGGTGCCAGTCTTGTCCTGGGGCTGCCCTTGCTCTCTGGGGAACAGCCAGGGAGTTGCTGGTCGCTTCTTACTAGGTTTCATGTGGTTCTGAGCAGATTCTGGAGCCAGCCTGCCTGCTTCAAATCCTGCCACAGACTGGTTGTGTGACCTTGGAGGATCCTTAGGACCTTTGTGACTTGGTTTCCCCACTTATGAAATGGATCTAAAACTAGTACCTATCTCATGGGGTTGGTGTGGGGATTAAACGAGTTAATGTGTTCAGAGCCCGTGGATGGTGCTGGGGGAGGAGAAGTCTCGTTGGCCATGCTCATGATGACTACTGTTATCATGATGTCCCCTTCGACTGTACACTACTAGGGCCACGAGTGAATGAATGGGTGAGGGAACAGCATGCGTTCTAGAAGCTTCTTGACATTGCACACGGTGGGACTCTCACATACATGGGCATGGAATGGGTACCKGGGAGGCAGAAGGTGGGACCAGGTGCACCCAAGGGCCAGGCAGGTTTGCCACACATGTGTRAGCACCTGGCGGGGAAGGGCAGGGGTTCAGGCCAGTCTTCGTGGGTGTGTCCACAGGCACGTGGGCCCCTGCTTTGACTCCTCTCCTGAGTTAAGCCCACTGGGAGGAGGCAGGGAGGCAGATATGGTCTGGCTGGGAGGGGACCCTGGGGCCAGGCCAGAGCAGGACAGGCCCCTGGCTGTCTGGCWTGGACCATGTGCCCTTAAGCCTGACCTCCAAACCCCACTTCCTGTTTTTCTCCTGATGCTCCTGGCAGCCTGGGCCTTGGGCACCTTTGTCATCCTCGTCTAACAATGGGGAAGCTGCAACCTACAGAGGTAAAGTGACAAGTCCAAGGTCCCACAGCCTGTGGGAGGAGAGGCACACCCCGAGTCTCCTCCCTGTCCACTCTGCGGGGCTCCCCATCCCTCCCTCTGCCCAGGCCTCAGGCCTCCGCCATCCAGCGCCCTCCCTCTGGTGCAGTCCCAGGTTGGTGACAGCTGCGGGTCTTTGGCAGCCCCCTCTGAGCTGGCCGAGCTCCTCCTCTTGTTCTGTCCATGCTCCTTTCTAGTCTGGCTCCTGCCCAGGCCCCAGGGCTGCTTGCAGGAGGACCCGAGGAGCGCGAGGAGGCCGGCTGGCTGTGCAGCCCGGCACAAATAGTTCCTTCTCTGAAACAACTGTGGGCCCCGCCCTCGGGGTCAAATGCTTGGCCCAGGGGAGGTGGGCAGCTGCCCTCCGGGCATCTATAGACAGCCCGAGGGCATCCAGGGAAGGGGCCTGGGACTGCCCCTCTCCCCACATTCTCCAGGAGCATCTGGTTGTGATTAGGGAGAGAGAAGTGAGAGGGGCCCGGCAAGGGTCCAGCGAGCACCATCAGCCAAGAATGACTTAATTGGATAAAATGTCTAATGACAAACCAGAGCCCCACAGCAGTGTCCTGGCCCCAGCCCCAGGCCTAGTGTTGGCCAGGCCTGTCTCAAACTCTGCCCTTGCTGCCTCCTGCCTCCTACAGCATCGTGTCCTTGAGAGGGCAGTGATTGAGCACTTACTGTTTGCAAGGTCGTGTTTGAGGAATGTGGAGAGAGTCCCCGGGAGATAGGCGTCTAGTCCTGCCACTGAGAGTTCTGGGAGGTGGAGTGGGTGAGGTAGAGGAGGAGGAGGGCATCTGACCCAGAGAGGGCCTGAGGTCAATGAAGGTCACAGGTGCAGAATGTCCTATCCATCTGCCTGGTAATCTGAGTCTTACCCAAGGTGGGTGTGATAATTGGAATAACAATATGAGGCACAGCTCAGGGGGTACAATCTCTCTGAAATGGGAAAAGATGCTTTTGGTGTCATTTAGGATTAATTTAACAACCTAGAGGGAATTGGAGAGAACGTGGAGTCTTGGAACGCGCTGCCTGAGCTCGGCCACTTGCTAATCCTGTGCCCGTGGCTGACGTGTCTAATTGATGGTGACAATCTTTCCTGCTAAACACAAATGAGGCCTCAGAATTCTTCTCAATTAGAGGGCTCCTGGTTGTCACTAATCAGTTGGAGAGGGCATCTGAGGTGAAACCTGTTCCCCGTTCTGGATGGTATCTAAGCCCCTTGTTTGACGGGATAGTGGTTGCCTGGGTGTTTGACGGGAGCGTGAAGCTGAAGACGMAGTTCTCACTGGGGAGAAGGAGGGGTGACTTTGTTTCCTATGAGATGTTTGCAAGGTTGGGAGACATTTTCAGTTGTCGTAGCTTAGGGGCATGGGAAGGTCCTACTGACACCTAGCAGATAGAGGCCAAAGACGCCGCTAAGTACCCTCGATGTACAGAAAAGGCCCCCCCACCCCCAAAGAATTATCCAGTCCCACCAACAACTCAAAACAACTCAATTTAAAATGGACAAAGCTGGGCATGGTGGTGCATGCCTGTAATCTCAGCAGCTCTGGAGGCTGAGGCAGGAAGATCCTGAGTTCAAAGCCAGACGCTAAGCAACTCAGTGAGACCCTGTCTCTAAATAAAATAGAAAATAGGGCTGGGATGTGGCTCAGTGGCCGAGCGCCCTTGAGTTCAATCTCCAGTACCCACCTCCCAAAAAAGGGGAAAAGACTAAATAGACATTTCTCCATTTCTCCAAAGAAGATATACAAATAGCCAGTAAGGATATGAAAAGATGCTTAACTTCACTAATCGTTAGAGAAATGGAAATCAAAACTCCACCCATCAGAATGGCTGCTACCACAAACCAAAATCAAAGCAGAGAATAGCAAGACTTGGTGGGGCTGTGGAGAGAATAAAAACTTTGTACGCTTTCGGTGAGAATACAGAACAGCTCAGCAATGGAAAACTGTTGGGGGGGGGTTCTCCAAAAATTAAAAATAGAATTACTATCTGATCCAGCAATCCTAATTCTGGGTATATATGCAAAAGAGTTGAAAACAGCATCTCAAAGACGTCTACACACCTATGATCACAGGAGCATTACTCACGATAGCTAAAACATGCGAGCTACCCAACTGTCCATTGATATGAGAATGGAGAGGCAAAATATGGTATATGCATATGCATGGGATATTATTCAGCACTGTAAAAGAAAAATCACCGGGTGTGGTGGCACACACCTGTAATCCCAGTGGCTTGGGAGGCTGAGGCAGGAGGATCAAAAGTTTGAGTCCAGGGGCTGGGGTTGTAGCTCAGTGGTAGAGTGCTTGCCTAACATGTATGAGACCCTGGGTTTGATCCCCAGCACCACATAAAACTAAATAAACAAAATAAAGGTATTGTGTCCATCTACAACTAAAAATATTTTTTAAAAAGTTCAAGGCCAGCCTCAGCAATTTAGCAAGACCCTAAGTAATTTAGCAAGAGCCTGTCTCAAAATAAAACATTTTTAAAAGGGCTAGGGATGTAGCTCAGTGGTTAACCACCCCTGGGTTCAATCCCCAGTGTGTGTGTGTGTGTGTGTGTGTGTGTGTGTGTGTGTGTGTATTTTTCCTATTACATGCTACAACATTGTGCTAAGTAAAATAAGCTGAACACAGAAAGACAAATACTCAGGAATCCACTTATATTCTAACACTGAATCTAGGCAGTCAGGTTCTTTTTCCCACAAATTTGAGGAATGAATCCACGGATGCAAGGGTGAGAGCAAAGTAACTGTATTTATTTGTGTAATAGAAAGCCTAGCTCCCAGAGGGGGTGGGCAGGAGGTATCTGTTGCCTTGGGGGTTTTTAAAGGTGTGTCTGAGGCCACAGTGTAGATGATCAGTGGGGTGAGGAATGCAGCATGGACCAATCAAGCTCTCTAAACTCTGAGTTTCATCAGCCAATCAGAAGTGCATAATTTCAATCCTTATTTACATAATTAAGAGGATGGGTCTCGGGTGGTTTTGGAAGGAGAAGGCATTTTGGGTTGGGTTTGCTAGGGGTGAAGGGAGGGGCAAGCAAGGAAGGGCTGCTGGGGTTGCAGCTGTGGGGAACAGGAACAAGACCCCACCTCAAAAGGAGGCACTGTGGTTAGGGCTGGCAGGGAGCAGCAGGTCACAGGTGTCTTTCAGACCCGTGTTCCCTTCCCTCCAGCCTCCAGTCCTCCAAAGGCTCTGATCCTAYCTGCCTGTGGGAGACCCACCTTCCTGCCTCAACATGAGATACTGGGAGCAGTCAAATAGGAGTGACAGACCGGAGTAGGGGGCTTGCCGGAGACTGGGGACAGAGGAGGAGGGGCCCGGAGTTTCAGTTTTACAAGATGAAAAGCATTATGGGGATGGATAGAAGTGATGGTATACTTACAGTGGTAATTCTTATGTGTATTTCACTATAATTTTAAAAATTAAAAGAAAAAAAAAAGAATTATCCAGTCCAAGATATCAATAGTACCAAATTTGGGAAACCCTGAACTGGAAGGTCTCTGCTCTCTGGCTTCTAGTCCCCTGGAAGATAGGATTATGTAGCAATTTTGGCAGATAGATAAGGACCTGGTTTATATTTCAGAGAAGTGGTTCTCACCCTTTTCGCAGAGGTTGTCTTTTCTCTTTTTTTCCCCCCCTGGTACTGGGGATTGAACCCAGGGGTATTCTACCACTGAACCACTGAGGTACATCCCCCACCCTGTTATTTTTCTCTTTTCAGTCAGGGTCTCACTAAGTTGCAGAGGTGACCTTGAAYTTGTGATCCTCCTACCTCAGCCTCCTGAGTCGCTGGGATTATAGGCATATGTCACTAAGCCCAGCTTGTTGCAGAGTTCTTTAAGACCAGGACTTCTCTAAATTTCCCCTAATTGTCTAAATTTCACCTGCGGGTCTTAAGAGACCTAATGCCAGGGACACATCAGACCTCTAGGGTAGGACCCAGACATCTGGACGTTTAAAAACTCCGTAGGTGATTCCAGTGTGAGCTGAGGTGGAGAATAGTCACCGGATGGAGGCAGATCAACTTGGGTTTGAAACTTATCTCAATGTCTAATCACCTGTGTGACCTGCAGCCTCTGAGCCTCTGATTCCTGTCTGCACAATGGAGTGCACTGTATTTACTGTGGAGCATTAATGCGAAGGTTCAGAGCATTGTGTGCACGAGCTGCTTGACATGGAACTGGGCACATGGCTCTCAGGACATGTTGGGTACTCAAGCATCCCCAGGGTCAATGATGGTGTGGCATTGAGGCCTCTGCAGAATCGGGTTGGTCTCCCTCGGATCTGTACCCTGCCCTGCTAACACTCAATTTCCTGCATCTTCCCCAGGTCACRATGAAGGCCGAGGCTCTGGATGGGCTGCCAAGGGGACCACACAGGGCTGGAATCAGAGAGTGCGAGAAAGGCAGGTGTCAGAGCCGAACAGGACCCAGCTGAGCCAGGACTTGGGTGGGGGCACCCTGGCTATCGACACACTGCCGGATAACAGGACCAGGGTGGTGGTGAGTGCTGACGAACGTGGAGTGGGAGAGAAGTGTGAGTGGGGTCTCTCCAGATGCCCTACGTGCACTGATCTGACAAGCAGACACATCACCGGGATCAGCCCTGGAGATTGGAGTGGAGACGGAGGGGTGGGGGTGGGGTGGGGATGGAAGGAGAGCCCAGACGGGTCCTAACATCCCAGCATCTCGGAGCTTGATAGTCTGCCTACCTCCTCTAGGACCCAGAGAGGTAAATTGACTTGCTCCAGATGCACAGCCTAGTAACAGGGTTCCCGACACAGGATTCTTCCATAACCCAGGGCAGAAAAAGCCCAAGGTGGCATTAATAGTTACAGCTTTCAGTTCAGGTCCTTCCCACCCCCATTTCTGCCCCATCTACAGATAGTGGGGCCCTCAAAGGTTCATGGCTGCAGAGACACAGTCTGTTCAACCTGAGGGTGGGACACACTGCCGTGGGCTGGGTAGAGAAAGCAATTAGGCTACAGTTCCCAGACAGAACCTTCTGAGGAGGGGCCAGGGAGCAAGCCCTCCTCACAGCTCTCTGGAAGACTAAGCATCTGTTTCCTCCAGCAAATCTAGAATCGCTATTTTCTGGGAATGTGTGTATCAGTGGGTGTGTGTTTGCATGTGTGTCTGAGGGGCTTTGTGTATTATGTACATGATCGTGTGTCTAGTGTTTATGTGTCTATGATAAGTGTGAGGGTGAGAGCATGAGTGTGCCCAGGCAGCAAAGAGGGTAGAGGCTCAGGATGCAGAAAAACTGAAATGAGAAGTTGTGGTGCAAGTCTGTAATCCCAGCAACGCACGGGAGACTGAGGCAGGAAGAGCAAAAGTTCAAGGCCAACACCCAGCAATTTAGCAAGGCCCCAAGCAACTTAGCAAGACTCTGTCTCAAAATAAAAAATAAAAAGGGCTGGGGATGTGGCTCAGTGAGTAAGCATCCCTGATTCAATCCTCAGTACCAATAAATGAATAAATAAATAAATCATCAAGAAGATGCAGTTCTCAGCATATGCTTCTTTATTTTATGTTTTAAAAAACAATTTTCTTAAAGAAAAACCTGCAGATAGTCAAAAAGTTCAAGTAGGAGGCAGGAGTATCATTTGAGCCCAAGAGTTCAGGGCTGGCCTGGGCAGCACGAGACCCCTGTTCAAAAGAAAGAAGGAAAACAGTGCTAGAAGCCTAAAACAAACAGAGCAGCCCCACCAGCGGCCCCCCTCGGACCACACTGCCCACCGTCCTCAGCAGGTGCCTTGCCAGCTGTCCTACAGGCGTCCACCTCTGTCTTTGCAAAGTCTTTGCTTGTACTGCCCCTCTGGGTAGGTCAGTGTTAGGTCCCTGGGCTGCCTTTCATGGTGGATGAAGATTTGGCTTTCATATTCCCCCCATCCCCCAGCATTGCTGTGCTCCCTCTCTGAATCTTTTTGTTCAATCCTGTCTTGTTAATTATCATTTGAATCCTGTTCACACCTGATCCAAGCAGGGTCATGTCCTTTTCTTGTACAATTTTCATTCTTCCTGGGACCCTGCTATGTCCCGCCCCCTTGGTTTCCCACGCTTACCTCTGGTGTCTTCTTACACATTATCCTTTGACTTCAAATATAATTCTCCGTGTGGCCAAACCTGTCAGTTCTTTTTTTTTTTTCCCTGCTAGAAACCTCTTTCCTGGCGTCTGTTCCGACCTGGATGAGCTGTTCACTTGCCCCCCAGTTACCATCCCCGGGCCTCCTTCTCTCATTTGTCTCTCTCCTGTGTCAGATTCCCTGTTGGGAATTTCCTTGACCTTGTGTCTTCTCTTTCCTGCTTCACCCCCTTGGCTATTTAGTTTCCTAAACTAAACAAAAGAGAGGTTGCACAGGAGGGAAGAAATTCTCTTGAGAACTTGCAGGTCTGAAAATGCCTTATTCTGTGCTCTCGTTTGATCGATGGTTCTACTGAACATAGGCTTCTAGATTAAAAATAATTTTCTGGGGCTGGGGATGTGGCTCAAGCAGTAGTGCACTCGCCTGGCATGTGTGCGGCCTGGGTTCAATCCTCAGCACCACATACAATAAAGATGTTGTGTCCGCCGAGAACTAAAATAAATAAATAAATAAATAAATAAATAAATATTAAAATTTTCTCTCTCTCTCTTAAAAAAAATAATTTTCTGTCTCAAGTTTGACAGCATCTCACCATTGTCTTCTTGCTTCTGATGTCACTGTGGAGAGGTTTGGTGTCATTCTTGTTCCTGATCTTTGTATCGACCTTGGGAAACTTTCAGGGTGTCCCCATAACCCCAGTCTTCTGAAAGTGACGGGGGCTGCCCACTTTGGCTCTTTCCTTCACCACACTGGACATTGGTGGACTGTTTCAATCTGGAGACTTACATCCCTCAGTTCTGGAAATTTCTTTTCTGCTTTCTTTCTTTGATAGTTTTCCCCTCCCATCTTCTCTTTTTTTCCTAGACATCAGTTTCTGGATGTCATTCTTGAATTTTCTTCTGTCTTCTATTATCTCCTTTGCATTTTTTGTTGTTGTTTATTGGTTAGTTTGATTGTTATTATTATTGTTTCATGTTTGGGGGATTGTTTTCATCCTTATTTTTATAAAGTATTGTTTTTATTCCCTACATCATAGTYTTAATTTCTAAGAGCTCTATTATTTTTTTAATTGGTTGTTCACAACATTACAAAGCTCTTGACATATCATATTTCATACATTAGATTGAAGTGGGTTATGAACTCCCAATTTTTACCCCAAATGCAGATTGCAGAATCACGTTGGTTACATATCCACAGTTTTACATAATGCCCTATTAGAGAGCTCTATTATTTTCAGATAATTTTCTCTTAAGAAAGCTTCTTGTTCTTATGTCATGGATGAAATATCATCTCTGAGAATATTTAAAAAGTTATGAGTTGTTTTTTTTCCTGTTCTCCTTATTGTTTCTCTTTTTTTAAATTTTTTTTTAAACAGGGAGAGAGAGAATTTTAATATTTACTTTTTAGTTTTTGGCAGACACAACATCTTTGTTGGTATGTGGTGCTGAGTATCGAACCGGGGCCCGCACGCATGCCAGGCGAGCGTGCTACCACTTGAGCCACATCCCCAGCCCTCTGTGTTGTTTCTATTACTGGTTTTTCCTTCTACCTTGGGCTCTCAGTTGGCTTCACACCACGACTGATCCTATCTTTATTTAAAATTTTGATATTGTGCTCATCAAGATATCATCAGTTTTTGTYAGTAATTTTGACTTTTAAAATATCATATTAAAATGTTTCTTTTCTTGATTCCCCAGCTTTCTGGCACCACCTTGAATATTGCACCTCACTTACCTCACCCCCATACCGGCCCTCGAGGACATATCCCCATTCACTTCCCATTCTGTCCTGTCCTCTAGGTCCTGCAGAACCAAGGAGCAGGTCAGGCATGGTGGAACTCTGAAACCAACAGCCAGGCCAGAAGTGGTCCCTGATGTGGGGACTTCTGACCTCTCATTCTCTACCCTACAGCTTTGTTGGGTCTTTGGGTAAATTACTGATATCTGTTCAGGGTCAGACACGATAGTCAGAAGGTCTACGTATGTCTCGTGTACAAAGAGGACCTTCCAGAAGAGAGTCACAGAGACGCAGCTTTCTGGAAGGATTCCCCAGTTGGTGTTCAAAAAAGGMAGTGGTTCCTTTAGGAGCCAGTATGGAGTCAATAATGCCAGGGCTTAAAAAACAAAACAACACACATTCTTGGGCTCCACCCTGGACAGAACGGAGCCTGGCAATTTGTTTCTTTGCAAGTTCCCCATATGGGGCTGGAGATGTGGCTCAGTGATAGAGAGCCCTTGCCTAGCATGTGTGAGGCTCTGGGTTCAACCTCTGGCACTGCAAAAAATAAAATAAAATGTTTCTCCTGTCATATATAAATAAAAATTTTTTTCAGTAAAAAAAAAAAAAAGTTTCCCATGTGATTCTGATGATCATCTAAGGACCAGAAAGTTCAATCTGTAAGATTTCAAACCAACTAGTTGGCAGATGGATGGCCAGAACGTGGGGCTTTCTCAAGAGCCATGTGGCTGTACTTGAGCAGGAGGCAACTTTCACCCCTCCAGGGTTTTGTGACCCTCCCGCAGCCACACATCAAGAGTCCACACAGAAGAGCAAGGCCACCTAGGAGAAGACTCTTCCTTGGCCTTTCTCATTGTGCCCTGTTTTGCCTGAGAGATGAAGGATCAGACTTTGAGAGGTAATTTGTCTGGAAGAGAGTTCTGACTCATGTCAGGAAACCTCAAGTCAGATGAAACTACCTGGATAAATACAATCCCTGGCACTTAGAGGTAGAGGTAGTTGGGAGAGAGGCGGTTCAGAAAGTTCCTGAGGGAAGACTTGGGGCTGCTCAGTGCCTGTGGCTGGGGTGATTCAGGGGTATGAAGTGGCTTCAAGGACAGAGGTGGGCAGCAGCTGCATTAACAGAAACCCATGGAGACCTGGGGGCCAGGGCCAGGGCTCTGGGGATCCTGTAGGCTATTTCTTGGCTGGGCCACAGCTGAGGGGCTTGTGTCCCCTTTCAGGCAGTTTTCTAGAAACCAGAGGGGTCCAGGAGGTGGACTAGATGGTGAAGTGACTTGAACCCCTGTCCTAGAAGGAATGGCAGAAAGTACTTGCGGGGCCTGGGGTTGTGGCTCAGTGGTAGWGCGCTCACCTAGCATGCACGAGGCACTGGGTTCGATCCTCAGCACCACATAAATGTAAAATAAAGATATTGTGTCCACCTAAACTTAAGAATAAATATTAAAAAACAAAAAGAAAATGTTTGGGGTACTTAGCTGGCTATAGAGAAGGCTCTAGCAAGATGTGGCTGTTTTCTTCTTTTCTCTCTTTTTCCTCCCTCCCYCCTTCTTTCTTTATTTCATTGAGCCCAGAGCCTTGCCCATGCTCAATGAAATAAAGAGGCCAGCACTCTACCCCTGAGCTGCACCCCCAGCCCAGTGTGACTGTTTTCTAATGGCTGCAGGGCTGCAACTAGGG